TGGATTTATGGTTATTAAAGCTTTATAGGATTTTGTATTTTTGAGAAATCTGTTTTATTGTTGTTAATAAATCCTATGATTGCATCTTTTCAAAAAACCGTTTTATGATTATAAAAGCATCTTAGGATTGCGTCTTTTCGAAAAATCCAGTTTATGGTGATTAATGCAATATACAATTGCGTCTTTTCGAAAAATCTATTTTATGGTTGTTAAAACATGTAAAGATTGCATTTTTTGGGAAAAATCTGTTTGATGATTATTAATACATCAGAGGGTTACGTTGTTTTTTTTCAAATAAATAGTTTTATAGTTATTAAAGCATATAAAGGTTATATTTTTTGATTAAATCTATTTTATGGTTATTAATCCATCATATGGTTGCGTCTTTTTGAAAATATTGTTTTATGGTTATTAAAGCAACTAAGTGTCGCGTCTTTTGGTCGCATCTTAAAATTTGTTTTAGGGTTGTTAATGAATCGTAAGATTGCATCTTTTGGAAAAATATTTTTATGATTATTAAAACATCTTAGGATTGTGTCTTTAAAAAAAAAACCATTTTAATGCATTATATGTTCTTCTCGGAAAATTTTGTTTGATGGTTATTAATGCATAATAGGTTGTGTTTTCTAAAAAAAATCGTTTACTATTTAACAATACATCTTAGGGTGTGTCTATCATTCTGTGAAAATGTAAGGATTGCATTTTTTTAGAAAAAATTGGTTATTTAGACTTCACTTATGTCTTTTTTGTAGCTTATTCTTACGTATATTGTCATGATTTACCTTTTGCATTGTACCCATATTTGTATACATTGTCAATAATAATTGTTTTCAAATGGCAATCCTACCAAATACATCATAGAGTTGCATTTAGAAAAAAAAACTATTTTGTGGTTACTGATGCATCATAAAGTTGTGTTTTAAAAAAACAAATATTTATCTTTTCATTAATGTATCATAGGGTTGCTTATTTTCAAAAAAATATGTTTGTGTTATTAACTCATAGGGTGTCTTTTATGTTATTCTTTAAATTATGGTAATAATTTATATTGTTCTCTTTCTATATGATTCATATATGTTTAATTTTTTTTATTACATAGTCTAATATGTCCGATTTGGGTTAACTCGACTTGAGAATTGATAATAAACAATACTTTAAAATCTTTTAAAGATGAATATGAGTTTATGTTCACTAGTGTTTCAAGAAAAAAATTGTATTTTAGGATATTTTAGCAAAAAAAAATTTTAAAGTATGGTTGGATGTTATTTATCCCGTGATTTTCGCGGGGGGAGGGTTCGAGTCTTAGTATTGGTAATAGTGTTATGGTTAATACTCTCTTATTACATTACCAGGTGATTGCAATTTCGTCAGGAGTGGCAATTGCAGTTCACGTATGTGTGTGCTGGCTTTTTGTGTACGGTCTTAAACTTGGAGTCATAGGGACCATGGCTACTGTTAACGTATCGTGGTGGCTCAATGCTTTCATCTTATTTACTTACATTACTTGCGGCGGTTGTCCGCTCACTTGGACCGGTTTGTCCATAGAAGCTTTCACCGGACTATGGGAATACGCTAAGCTTTCTGTCTCCTCCGGAATCATGCTTTGGTAGTATTCGTTAATCGTCCCTATTTTTGTTGGTTTTCGGATCGTAATACAACCTCTTACGGTATATATTTATGTTTTTTTATCGAGGCAGCTTGGAGAATTGGTATTATAAGATCTTAGTTGTGATGACTGGAAATCTGAAGGATGCAAAAATTGCCGTCGATTCTTTGTCTATATGGTACGTCAACAGCATATACTGTATATAGTTTGGAGATTGATAATACGTATCAAAAGTTTATCATAAATATTCCTATATATCGCATCTTTTTCTGTGTTCCGTTTTGCTGAAAATTTTATAATGTTATAATTTGTATTCGCGTGCAGCATGTCGATAAATGGTTTGGAGCTGATGATTCCAATTGCTTTCTTTACCGCGACCGGGTAATCAATCTCTCATTTTTTTTAAAACCATACTTGATTTTGACCTGTGGCAAAACACAAGATTAAAATATTTTTTTTAAAAGTCACAATGAGCTTGTTAGTGTATCAGAAAAATTTAAAATAGATGATTTAGGTAAGTAAAAAATATTACATTTAGTTGGATTCAGAATTGTAAAACTTGTATTAATGGGCCTATTTTACATAACTAGATTTTGACCCACGCAAAGCGTGGGATTAAATATTGAGATATATTTTCTAATATTTATAAACGTACAAAATGATATGTATTGTGTATAAATGTAATAGAATTAATTTTTCACCAAACATATTTCAATATCATATTATTTGATCAATTTTGCATAAAATATTAAAACTAATGCAAATGTTATTTATTTAAGTTTATTTGAAGTGCCAAATTGAGTTTTATTATTTGTGTAAATAGTAGAGTATGCGATAAATAAAATAAATTTTAGATTTATNTAAATTTATCGGACGTAACAAACAAAAAATATATGTTTTCTAATAATAAAATGTAAAATTATTTGTAAGTGTAGTTATCATCTACAAATAAATAATATTGTTACAAATATAATAATAAAAGCTTTTTAATATATATCAGTTATTTTTTAAATAGATGATATAGTAAGTCTAAATATTACATTTAGTTAAACTTAACTCTGTAAAATATATATTA